TGACCGCTTCCTATCTACCTTCTATTTTGGTTCCTTTGGTAGGTTTAGTATTTCCAGCTGTAGCTTTTGCTTCTTTCTTCTTGTACATTGAACAAGACGAAATCGTCTAAGGAACTCTAATTCAGGAACCCTTGTTTACTAAAAATAAAGTGTTAGTTTTGAGATCTCCTCTCCTGGATTGGAAGGAATGAGGAGATCTTTGGTGTATGAATGTATGGAATTCAATTAACTAATTGATTTTTTTCTACAAAAATCATCTATTGATATTTTTTTGTACTAGAAAGATACTTTGCATACTTTTTCCTATTCTATAAAAAAAAGAAGATAGTTTTTTCTTTTTAATAATTGTCGCAAGTCAGTTGATATTTTTTTTTATCGAATTATGTGTGACTGTATATTCTCACCGTATTTTTTGTAAAATACTATTAACTGACAATGGGACAAAGTGCCTTGCTGTGCGAAAGGTATCTTGGTTATACTTACTTAGCATGTTTTGCAAATACTCTTAGTATAATACCACCTGATAAGACAAAATAGAAAAGAGCCTAAACAGCTCACATTCTTTATTAACTTTATACTTTGTCTTATCTTTACACACGGAGCTAACCATGTCTGGGAATACGGGAGAGCGCCCCTTTGCAGATATTATTACCAGTATTCGTTACTGGGTTATCCATAGCATTACAATCCCTTCGCTATTTATAGCGGGTTGGTTGTTCGTTAGCACAGGTCTTGCTTATGACGTATTCGGAAGTCCTCGTCCTAACGAATACTTTACAGAGAGTCGTCAAGAAGTTCCTTTAATTACTGGACGTTTCAACTCTCTAGAGCAACTAGACGAATTTACCAGATCGCTATAGGAGATATTAAATGACTATCGATAGAACTTATCCCATCTTTACGGTTAGATGGCTGGCTGTTCATGGGCTAGCTGTGCCTACAGTTTTTTTCTTGGGCTCTATCTCAGCAATGCAGTTCATTCAAAGGTAAGCTCTTTATAAAGCGCACAATTATGACACAACCAAACCCGAACAAGCAAAACGTCGAGTTAAACCGTACTAGTTTATTTTGGGGACTGCTACTAATTTTTGTACTTGCAGTACTCTTTTCTAGCTACTTCTTTAACTAGTAATAATAGTTGGTTATTGCCTCATTTGGAAAATTCGTATTTAGTTACTTTGTTGCTTGTGGCTGTAATGATCTTTAGCCAAGACCTCCAATGCAGATGTGAAGGGAGTAGAACAGATGTCTAACGTTGGAACTACAGGAAGAATTCCGTTGTGGTTTATAGGGACAGTAGCAGGCATTGCTGTCACCACTCTAGTGGGCCTTTTCTTTTACGGCTCTTATGTTGGTTTAGGTTCTTCCCTATAATTAAGAGTAGAATCCTAACCAGGGAATTGAGTAACGAGCTTAAATGAAATGTATTGATCTTGTGTCTACTCAATAAAAGGGACTTCTTCAAGAAATTCCCCAAAGGGAAAATCTTTCCTTTGGGGAATTTCTTTTGATATTTGCATTTCAAAGCAAACAGTATAGTCAATAAATTTATTGGTGCATTAATTCCATCAATAATCTACTAATATCTTTCTCCGATTGAGACATTTGCATAAATAGACGTGATATATGAAACATTTTTTCATTAGATGTTAATTTAGACACTAATGGATACCATCTAGTTGATTTCCAAATTTTACGATGTCGTAAAATTTTTAAAAGTAGAAAAAAATCATCATGATCTAGAAAGTTTCTAGGCATTGAGGAGAAAGTTTTTTGAATATTATGATGCATATTTTTTCTTTCTAGATTCTCTTCTATTTTTTTTGAAATTTCCCAAAGGTTGTTGTCTATTTCTTCTAAAGATTTCAATATATTTTTTTTTTCTTTTTCGTATTTATTTAGAAAAAAATGTGTTCCATGAATTGATTTCAAGCTTCTAGTGGTTTCATTACAAGAATCGAAGATATCACTTTGATACTGAGAGATTTTTTGATCTTTTTGTCTTTTTTCTACTTTTATGGTATTTAGCAAACCATAATACTGATCATGCATAGAGAAATTCTGATTCAAATGTCTATGCTGTTTTGCTAGATAGAAATGAACATGAGCTGCATGATCAAAATATTCTTTTACCTGTTGTGACATAAGATTACAGGTAGATGCTACTTGAGCATCTCCCCAGTATTCTGCTGTTTGTGCCAAAACAGGAATGAAATAACAGTGTTCAAAACTCTCAATATTTAAGCACTCCATCATTACACGTTGTAAATGGAGAGGCTTTAGATCTAAGCTCATTGATTAGGACTCATACGATCTATAGAAAAGATAATCGAGCGCTTCCTGTGGTTTTCCACATCAATACTTTATTTACTTAGAAATTCATCTCAGCAAGTTGTACTTTTTCAAATTGTTTTTTCTTCAGAACTAGGAAAATCTGTGCCAAAATTACAGATGCAAAGAATACAAGAAGTCCTTGAATTCTTAATGGATCTTGCAGTACTATGGAGGTTTCTGCTTGTCCAAAACCACCTACGTTTGGATTATTAGTCAATGGTTGATCAACTTTAACGGATTCTCCTTCGGAAACAATTAATTCTGGTCCTGGAGGAATAACGTCAATTACTTCTTTACCGTCTGCTGTAATAATGGTTATATCGTAACCACCTTTTTTGATATTAGTACGAACAACTTTCTTAATTGTTCCTGAAGCAGAAGCACTAAAAACTGTATTATTACTCTTGCTACCATCAGGATAAAGTTGTCCACGTCCTCTATTCCCACCTAAATAGATTGGATATTTTAAGAAAGACGCTTCTTTGTTAGTAGCTGGATCGGGAGATAATATAGGAAATACCATTTCACTATATTTATTTCCAGGTACAGGACCTACTACCAAAATATTTTTCTGCTCGGGTCTGTAAGTTTGGAAGTAAAGATTATTAATCTTTTCTTTCATTTCTGGAGGAATACGATCTTCAGGTGCTAATTCAAAGCCTTCCGGTAAGATTACCACAGCGCCTACATTGATATTCCCTTTTTTACCATTGGCTAATACCTGTTTAATTTGGGTATCATACGGAATCTTAACTACTGCTTCAAAAACAGTATTGGGAAGAACTGCTTGTGGCACTTCGATATCCACCGGTTTTTTTGCCAAATGGCAATTAGCACATACAATGCGTCCAGTCGCTTCTCGAGGACTTTCATAGTTTTGCTGTGCAAATATCGGAAATGCTTCCGAATTTAATGGCAAAGCCATTGGCAAAGCCATAACTATGATTGAGATTGATAGCCCCACCCATCTTCGTATCCATTTACAAGCATCTCTTTTTTGCATGGTCTGATTTTTCTTCAAAAATTTATAGGTAGAAGCAGCTAGTTTCCTTGCTGCTATCCATAACTCTGATACTATAGTAACTGTAAATTGGAAAAAACCAAAGTGTTTTTTCGAATTCTTTTATACAAATAAACACATAGACATCAATGATGTCTATATTTTCATAGGGATTTGATTTTGCAATCCTTTTTATTATAAGAAGTTCTTTCGAACATTGTATAGAGATACCATCGATAAAAAGAGTTGTAATAAAAAATCAGGTTGACATATGACACTCTCTGTGTAATAATATATACTAACAAGCTTATAAGCAGCTTGAGTCATATTTTATTACTTTATTAACCAATAATTACCATGACTGCTACTTTAGAAAGACGCGAAAGCGCAAGCCTATGGGGTCGTTTCTCTGACTTTATTACCAGCACCGAAAACCGTCTTTACATCGGATGGTTCGGCGTATTGATGGTACCTCTTCTTCTAACTGCAACTTCTGTATTCATCATTGGTTTCATCGCAGCTCCTCCAGTAGATATCGATGGTATCCGTGAGCCTGTTTCTGGTTCTCTTCTATACGGAAACAACATCATTTCTGGTGCTATCGTTCCTACTTCTGCAGCAATCGGTATGCACTTCTACCCTATCTGGGAAGCTGCTTCCGTTGATGAATGGTTATACAATGGTGGTCCTTACCAACTAATCGTTCTTCACTTCCTTTTAGGTGTAGCTTCTTACATGGGTCGTGAATGGGAACTTAGCTTCCGTCTAGGTATGCGTCCTTGGATCGCTGTTGCATACTCTGCTCCTGTTGCAGCTGCTACCGCAGTATTCCTAATCTACCCAATCGGACAAGGAAGTTTCTCTGACGGTATGCCTTTAGGTATCTCTGGTACTTTCAACTTCATGATCGTATTCCAAGCTGAGCACAACATCCTTATGCACCCATTCCATATGCTAGGTGTGGCTGGTGTTTTCGGCGGCTCTCTATTCAGTGCAATGCATGGTTCCTTGGTTACCTCCAGCTTGATCCGTGAAACCACCGAAAACGAATCTGCTAACGCTGGTTACAAGTTTGGTCAAGAAGTAGAAACTTACAACATTGTTGCAGCTCACGGCTACTTTGGACGTCTAATCTTCCAATATGCTAGTTTCAACAACTCTCGTTCTCTACACTTCTTCTTGGCTGCTTGGCCTGTAGTAGGTATTTGGTTTACTGCTTTAGGTATCAGTACTATGGCATTCAACCTAAACGGTTTCAACTTCAACCAATCCGTAGTTGATAGCCAAGGTCGTGTAATCAACACTTGGGCTGATATCATCAACCGTGCTAACCTAGGTATGGAAGTTATGCACGAGCGTAACGCTCACAACTTCCCTCTAGACTTAGCATCTGTTGAAGCTCCTTTCGTTGGCTAAACAATCTTGTTTTAGAGGCAAGCTGCATATATAACAACTGTGCGCAGGAATCCTGCGCACGGTTGTAGTTTGCTATATTTTCTCTTTTTTGTATGTTGTATGGCGAACAAATTGATCAGAATGTCCTTTATGTTTGATATAAAATAAAAATATATAAAATATAGCAAAGTTTCCATTATTTGCTTCACTTCGCATTTTTTATTACTTGCCTAGTAAATATACAGGTTAAATTCCTAACTTTCACTTATTTATGTATTGGTCCATTAAGCACCTTAAATGTGTGTCATAATATATTTAGGAGTCTGTCCTGGGTCACTTCTGTATCATAGTTGTTCTAGTTACAGACTTAATAAAGTGGGTAGCAATTCTAAAATATTACCCTCTCAGAAGCTGATTCATGATTTTGGGCAGGTGTTTCCTTTGTCTCGTCTGAAGAGAGGAGAATCTCAATGACTATTCGTTCACCGGAACCAGAAGTCAAGATTGTGGTAGACAATGATCCTGTAAAAACCTCTTTTGAAAAATGGGCTAAGCCAGGTCATTTCTCTCGTGCGTTAGCAAAAGGTCCTACTACAACCACTTGGATTTGGAACCTGCATGCTGATGTTCACGATTTTGATAGCCACACTAGTGATCTAGAAGAAATTTCTCGTAAGGTTTTTAGTGCACACTTTGGTCAATTAGCTGTCATATTCATTTGGTTAAGCGGAATGTATTTTCATGGTGCACGCTTTTCCAATTATGAAGCATGGTTAAGTGATCCAACCCACATCAAACCTAGTGCTCAAGTTGTTTGGCCAATTGTAGGTCAAGAAATTTTGAACGGCGACGTAGGTGGTGGATTCCAGGGAGTTCAAATTACCTCTGGTTTATTCCAAATGTGGCGTTCTTCTGGAATCACTACTGAACTAGAGTTATATTCCACTGCAATTGGTGGTTTATTAATGGCAGGCTTAATGTTTATCGCTGGTTGGTTCCATTATCATAAAGCTGCACCTAAATTGGCTTGGTTCCAAGATGCAGAATCTATGATGAACCACCATTTAGGCGGTCTAATAGGCTTAGGATCTTTGGGTTGGGCTGGACACCAAATTCATGTATCTTTGCCTATCAACCAATTGTTAGATGCAGGAGTTGACCCTAAAGAAATTCCTTTGCCTCACGAATTTATATTTAACAGAGACTTATTAGCTCAGTTATATCCTAGCTTTGCGAAAGGTGTAACTCCTTTCTTTACCTTAAACTGGGCAGAGTATTCTGATTTCTTAACTTTCCGTGGCGGTCTAAATCCAGTTACAGGAGGTTTATGGTTAACTGATACAGTTCACCACCACGTAGCAATTGCAGTCCTTTTCCTAGTAGCAGGACATATGTATAGAACTAACTGGGGAATTGGTCATAGCATGAAAGAAATGTTAGAAGCTCACAAAGGGCCTATGACTGGTGAAGGTCACAAAGGACTTTATGAAATTTTGACCACTTCTTGGCATGCTCAATTAGCATTAAACTTAGCTACTTTTGGATCTTTAACAATTATCATAGCACATCATATGTATGCTATGCCTCCTTACCCATATTTAGCAACTGATTATGGTACTCAGTTATCCTTATTCACACACCACATGTGGATTGGTGGATTCTGCGTTGTAGGGGCTGGTGCTCATGCAGCTATCTATTTGGTAAGAGATTACGATCCAACTACTCAGTATAACAATCTATTAGATCGTGTTCTACGTCATAGAGATGCAATTATTTCTCATCTTAACTGGGTATGTATCTTCCTAGGATTCCATAGTTTTGGTTTGTATATTCATAACGATACTATGAGTGCCTTAGGTCGTCCTCAAGATATGTTCTCTGACACAGCTATTCAACTTCAGCCTGTGTTTGCTCAATGGGTTCAAAATACTAACGCTGCAGCACCTGGTTTCACAGCACCTAATGCAGCTGCCGCTAGCAGTATCACTTGGGGTGGTAGTGAATTAGTAGCAGTAGGTGGGAAAGTAGCAATGTCTCCTATTCCATTAGGAACAGCTGATTTCCTAGTGCACCATATTCATGCATTTACTATTCACGTTACTGTTTTGATTCTTTTGAAGGGTGTATTATTTGCTCGTAGTTCTCGACTAATCCCAGATAAAGCTAATTTAGGCTTCCGCTTCCCTTGTGATGGTCCAGGACGTGGTGGTACTTGCCAAGTTTCTGCTTGGGACCATGTATTCTTGGGTCTATTCTGGATGTATAACTCTATTTCTGTAGTAATTTTCCATTTTAGTTGGAAGATGCAATCAGATGTATGGGGAACTGTAAATGCTCAAGGAGTATCTCATATTACTGGAGGGAACTTTGCTCAAAGTGCAACTACCATTAATGGATGGTTGCGTGATTTCTTATGGGCACAAGCATCTCAAGTAATTCAATCTTATGGATCTGCTTTATCTGCATATGGTTTAGTTTTCTTAGGTGCTCACTTCGTATGGGCATTTAGCTTGATGTTCTTGTTTAGTGGCCGTGGTTATTGGCAAGAACTAATTGAATCCATTCTATGGGCTCATAATAAGCTTAAAGTTGCTCCTGCTATCCAGCCTCGAGCTCTTAGTATTACTCAAGGGCGTGCTGTAGGAGTAGCTCATTACCTTCTGGGTGGGATTGCCACAACATGGGCATTCTTCCTAGCAAGAATTATTTCAGTAGGATAATGGCTAGGAGGGTTTTAAAGCATTATGGCATCAAGATTTCCAAAATTTAGCCAGGGCCTATCCCAAGACCCAACCACTCGCCGTATTTGGTTTGGAATTGCTACTGCACACGACTTCGAAAGTCATGATGATATCACCGAAGAACGGCTTTATCAGAAGATTTTTGCTTCTCATTTTGGTCAGTTAGCAATTATCTTCTTGTGGACCTCTGGGAATTTGTTTCACGTAGCATGGCAGGGCAATTTTGAAGCGTGGTCTCAAGATCCTTTGCATGTTCGTCCTATCGCACATGCAATTTGGGATCCTCATTTTGGACAACCAGCAGTAGAAGCTTATACTCGAGGAGGCGCTTCTGGTCCTGTAAATATTTCCTATTCCGGTGTATATCAATGGTGGTATACTCAAGGTCTACGTTCTAACCAAGATCTTTACACAGGAGCACTTTTCCTATTAGGATTAGCTGCTGTTTCTTTAGTAGGTGGATGGTTACATCTACAACCTAAGTGGAAACCTAGTGTTTCTTGGTTCAAAAATGCTGAGTCTCGTTTAAACCACCATTTAGCTGGTTTATTTGGAACCAGTTCTTTGGCTTGGGCTGGACATATCGTACACGTAGCTATTCCTGAATCTAGAGGACAGCATGTAGGATGGGATAATTTCTTAACTACTGCTCCACATCCACAAGGTTTAGCACCTTTCTTTGCTGGCCAATGGGGTGTTTATGCACAAAATCCAGATTCTAGCAGCCATATCTTTGGTACTTCAGAAGGAGCTGGTACTGCTATCTTAACTTTCTTAGGCGGTTTTCATCCACAGACACAAAGTCTTTGGTTAAGCGATATAGCTCATCACCATCTAGCAATTGCTGTAATATTCATCGTTGCTGGACATATGTATCGTACCAACTTTGGAATTGGACATAGTATGAAAGAGATTATGGAAGCACATATTGCTCCAAGCGGTCGTATGGGCGGCGGTCACCAAGGCCTATTTGACACAGTGAATAATTCTCTTCATTTCCAATTAGGATTAGCATTAGCGTGTTTAGGTGTTATCACTTCTTTGGTAGCTCAGCACAGCTATTCCTTACCTTCTTATGCATTCATAGCTCAAGATTTTACTACTCAAGCAGCACTTTATACTCACCATCAGTATATTGCTGGCTTCATCATGACAGGAGCTTTTGCTCATGGTGCAATTTTCTTTATCAGAGATTACAATCCAGAGCAAAACAAAGGAAATGTATTGGCTAGAATGTTGGAACACAAAGAAGCTATTATTTCTCACCTAAGTTGGGCTAGCTTATTCTTGGGCTTCCATACACTTGGTCTATACGTACATAATGATGTTGTACTGGCTTTTGGTACTCCAGAAAAACAAATCCTAATTGAACCTGTTTTTGCTCAGTGGATTCAATCTACTCATGGTAAGGCTTTATATGGATTTGATGTATTACTTTCTTCCAGTTCTAGCATTACTATTACTGCAGGAAAAAGTCTATGGTTACCAGGGTGGTTAGATGCTATTAATAACAATAGTAATTCTTTATTCTTGACTATTGGCCCAGGGGATTTCTTAGTACACCATGCAATTGCTCTAGGTTTGCATACAACAACCTTGATTCTTGTGAAAGGTGCTTTAGATGCTCGTGGATCTAAATTAATGCCTGACAAAAAGGAATTTGGATTCAGCTTCCCTTGTGACGGTCCAGGTAGAGGTGGAACTTGCGATATTTCTGCTTATGATGCTGTTTATCTAGCTGTTTTCTGGATGTTAAATACTATTGGATGGGTAACCTTCTACTGGCATTGGAAACACTTAGCTTTATGGCAAGGTAATGCAGCGCAATTTAATGAATCTTCTACTTACTTAATGGGCTGGCTTAGAGATTATCTATGGTTAAACTCATCTCAGTTAATTAATGGATACAACCCATTCGGTATGAACAGTTTGTCTGTATGGGCTTGGATGTTCTTATTTGGACACCTTGTTTGGGCTACAGGTTTCATGTTCTTGATCTCTTGGCGTGGTTATTGGCAAGAATTGATCGAGACATTAGCTTGGGCTCATGAACGTACTCCATTAGCTAATCTTGTGCGTTGGAAAGATAAACCAGTAGCTCTTTCTATTGTGCAAGCTAGATTAGTAGGATTAGCTCATTTCTCTGTAGGTTATGTATTTACCTATGCTGCTTTCCTAATTGCATCTACCTCAGGTAAATTCGGTTAAGGATATGTCAACATCATAACTGCTTACTATTTTGTAAAAATCTATTTTTGAGATATTAAGAAAATAGTAAGTTTTTTAGGCTATCCCACCTCTCAAGAGGTGGGATAGCCTGAAATTCACTATATAAGCTTCTTCCGTTATTTTTATTTTTTATAAACAATATGGCTAAAAAAAGTATGATTGAAAGGGATAAGAAACGTGAAAGATTAGCATCTAAATACTATGAGCGTCGTCAGGAATTAAAAGAACAAATTAAGACAGTTTCATCAATTGATGAAAAATGTCAATTGCATAGAGAATTGCAATCTTTGCCACGAAATAGTGCGCCTAATAGAATTACTCGTCGTTGTTTTGTAACAGGAAGACCAAAAGCAGTTTATCGTGACTTTGGCTTGTCAAGACATGTATTGCGTGAAATGGCACATGCTTGTTTATTACCTGGTGTAACTAAATCAAGTTGGTAAAACAAATATGGGAGTAGTCTACTCCCATATTTGTTGTGGTTCGAATAGAATTTATTCTATCTGATATACAAAAAAATTATTGATATAAAGAGTGAAAGTTGGATTTGACAACATTGCAATCTCCTTAGAAGAAGGAATATATACATATAACTTCTTATTGTTGACAACTTGCAAACATAGATTATAATACCTTTTAGAAGAAATTTGTAAAATAGGGAACATGAAACTAAAATTAGTTCATCTTTATTTTTTTTGAAACTAAATCAAAAAAACAATTTGTATTTCCCTGTTACAGCAAGCACATAAATAAATGTATTATTTCTATTTTCTTTAGTTCATGATGATTATTATCATCATGTTTTATCAAGAGAAACGATCTTCTGTGTATATCTTTTCAACAAAAAGATATAGATAATTAGTTGATTTTTTGTAAGAATTAGAATAGGATTCTCCTATTCTAAGCTTAGCTGTCTCTGTATGAGAATTGTCTAATTATCTTAGAAAATACTCAAGTTGCTGTTATCAAAAGCTGCAAAGAAATACATTATATGATATGTATTATGTATTTTTTAGAGACAGTTTAAGTTATAAATGTTTTTCTTTAATTGGTAGAACTGTGTTCTACATGGTATGATAAGATAAACGTTTATTGACATTGCTTTTTGGTGCTACTATCACACCCAAGAGACATCATGAGTTACTAATTGCTAAAATGTTTGTACATTTAGGCATACACGGGGAGACTTGTAGAATACACAGCCTCCTTGGTCTTATTTGAAGGAGAAAAGTAATGAACCCTTTGATCTCTGCTGCTTCCGTGATCGCTGCTGGGTTGGCTGTAGGTCTAGCTTCCATTGGTCCTGGTATTGGACAAGGAACTGCTGCTGGACAAGCTGTAGAAGGTATTGCAAGACAACCAGAAGCCGAAGGTAAGATCCGAGGCACTTTGTTACTTAGTTTGGCTTTCATGGAAGCTTTGACTATCTATGGACTAGTAGTAGCTTTAGCTCTTCTATTTGCAAATCCTTTTGTATAGTTCTATACACAAAGCTTTTAGCTTGTCTAGCACATAGGTTTTGCTATGACTATGTTTCATAGAAAGACTGAAGTTGATTTTTGACTTTAAGTAGACAGGCATAGGGAAAAACAAGTTATTTGGGGGAAAGATGCCGATTGTATGCTTTTCATTTTGATCATAAGAGAATCTATGTTCAAACAAGAATGCTCTAAATTACAAATGAGAAATAATGCATATCGGCATCATTTGGTATATTGTTTTATACATATTTTTCTGATATTCAGGAGATTAATCTAGTTGAAAAACTCATTCTAATATTTGCTATTACATAATACGTATAAGAAGATGTACTAGACCCAAGAACTTAAATCATGAGGTAATATAAATTTCCTGACATTTTAGTTAAACCTCATATAAGTAGCATTATGTAGAAAATGGACCTTATTGGAGAAACAGGGTATGAACAGCGCAATTGACTTGATTGCTTCGTTGGATTCTTGGGCTCTGGCAAATGAGGGGCTAAGCCTCAATACCAATTTGCTAGATACTAATTTGATCAATTTAGCAGTAGTGATCGGTGTATTAGTTTACTTTGGTAAGGGAGTGTGTGCGGGATGAATATTTGAATGACATGGTTGGAAAAAAATCCAACTACACTCTGACTATAAAGTGTATGATCCTCACGAATGACTCACAAAGAAGAATCTTTGTATGGACAAAAGCATTTCGTTGAATATTAAGTTAAAGACACTATTAACTTTCTATAATGAGGAAAAATCTACTAGGTTAAGGCTCTATTGCTTGAAGTCTAAGTATTGCTGGAGCTTTCTTTGCTCAATAAGATAATTACAAATCTTAACCTTGTTGGAGATTTTTTCGGTACAGAACACTCGTATCGAGATTATAAGGGAATTCATTCAATGAATTCATCAGTCAGAATCTTCCAGAATATATTCAAGAAATACACTTGATAACAATATACTAAATAGACAACCTTAAGATTTTTTATAGTGATTCGAAGAAAACAACCGTGCTGATCAAAAACAAATGGTCAGGAGAACCTTGAAATCGCATTTGCAATGAAAGGTACGTTCAAACATTTGTGTATAAGTCATTTAGGATACAAAAAACATGTCTTTTTTGCCTTTTCTATAAGTTGCAAGAAAAAGAATATATACATGTTTCTTATCGGGCTTTAATTACACATGGGTGAACGAGAGAGCCGGGTGAATCGAGAAGATTCATGTCCGGTTTGGGAAGAGATAGTTAAGCTAATGCATTAGCATAGATTAGCAATCTACTTCATTAACTAATATCTTAAATAATCGCAAAGAAACTATATTAAGCACCATTCGCGATGCAGAAGAACGTTACCAAGAAGCGACTGAAAAGCTAAATCAAGCTCGAGCTCGTTTAGAACAAGCAAAAGAAAAAGCAGAAGAAATCCGTGTTAATAGCATATTGCAAATTGAGAGAGAAAAAGAAGAATTAATCAAGGCTGCTGATGAGGATTCTAAACGTTTAGAAGATTCTAAAAATATGACTATTCGTTTTGAAGAACAAAAAGCCATTGTACAAGTACGACAACAAGTTTCTCGATTAGCAGTTGAAAGAGCTTTAGAAGTAATTAATAGTCGTTTGAATATGGATTTACATGCTAGAATGATTGATTATCATATTGGCTTATTTAAAGCTATGGAAAATTCTGCTGAGTAGAAAAAAGAACATATATAGGTGCTATACTTTCAAGATTACACACCACGTCCATGGTAAATATTCGACCTGATGAAATCAGTAGTATTATCCGCAAACAGATTGAGCAATATAATCAAGAAGTTAAAGTTGTTAACATAGGTACTGTTCTTCAAGTAGGAGATGGTATTGCTCGTATTTATGGCCTAGACAAAGTCATGGCAGGGGAGCTACTAGAATTTGAAGATGGTACAGTTGGAATTGCTCTAAACCTAGAGGCAGATAATGTTGGTGCTGTACTTATGGGAGAAGGATTGAGTATCCAAGAAGGTAGTTCAGTTAAAGCAACTGGAAAAATCGCTCAAATTCCTGTTAGTGACGGCTATCTAGGACGTGTAGTTAATGCACTTGGTCGTCCAATTGATGGCAAAGGAGATATCCCAGCTTCTGAATATCGTTTAATTGAATCTCCTGCTCCTGGTATTATCTCTAGACGTTCTGTTTATGAACCAATGCAAACAGGACTTATTGCTATTGATGCCATGATTCCAATTGGTCGTGGTCAACGAGAATTGATCATTGGAGACCGTCAAACTGGGAAAACAGCAGTAGCTACAGATACAATTCTAAATCAAAAAGGACAAAATGTTGTCTGTGTCTATGTAGCTATTGGACAAAAGGCTTCTTCTGTAGCTCAAGTTGTAAACACCTTCGAAGAACGTGGTGCAATGGAATATACTGTAATTGTAGCAGAAACAGCTAACTCACCTGCTACTTTGCAATACCTTGCTCCTTATACTGGTGCGACAATTGCTGAATACTTTATGTATAAAGGACGTCATACATTAGTAGTATATGATGATTTGTCTAAACAAGCTCAAGCTTATCGTCAAATGTCTCTACTTCTAAGACGCCCACCTGGACGCGAAGCTTATCCTGGAGACGTTTTCTACTTACATTCTCGTCTATTAGAAAGAGCTGCCAAATTAAGTAATCAATTAGGTGAAGGTAGTATGACTGCTTTGCCTATTGTTGAAACTCAAGCTGGTGACGTCTCTGCTTATATCCCAACAAATGTAATTTCTATTACAGACGGACAAATTTTCTTATCAGCTGATTTATTTAATGCTGGTATTCGTCCTGCTATTAATGTTGGTATTTCAGTATCTCGTGTAGGATCTGCAGCGCAGATTAAAGCAATGAAACAAGTTGCAGGTAAATTGAAACTAGAGTTAGCTCAATTTGCAGAATTAGAAGCTTTTTCACAATTTGCTTCTGATCTTGATAAAGCTACTCAAAACCAATTAGCTAGAGGACAACGTTTACGTGAGTTGCTTAAACAGCCTCAAGCTGCACCTTTAGCTGTAGAAGAACAAGTAGCAACTATCTTTACTGGAGTTAATGGCTATTTAGATGTAATTGAAGTTGCACAAGTTAGAAGATTCTTGGCTGAATTACGTCATTATATCGTGACTAATAAACCTGAATTTGGTAAAATTATTCGTGAAAAGAAAACTTTTACAGATGAAGCACAAGCTATTTTGAAGCAAGCTATTCAAGAACATACAGAAGCTTTCTTATTACAGGAAGAATCTGGAGCTGCTGCTCGTTAATTTAAGATAAAGTAGTTATATGACTAAATATATGACCTTTCAAATATAAATAAAGTGCATATATTTAGTCATATGATATATTTTTGTCTATTTTGGTATGCAAGAATACCTTTTCTCATAACTAACAGTTTTAATAAACTCTTAATATTGCGTCCAATAGGAATCGAACCTATATTGGAGGTTTAGAAGACCTCTGTCCTATCCGTTAGACGATGGACGCTTCGCTTACATATAGGTTTAGTAAGGAGAAAATGAGTATTGCGATAATATTACATAATATATCAGAAAAAAAATATATAGTCTATCGTTGCGTTTCAAATCCATTGAATATAGTATCTAATTTTCTAAAGGGAAATTTCAATCTATAATAAGAAATAAGAAGAGTTCTGGACATTTTTTCTAATAGAAAAGGAATAGAGAAAAGGGTGTTGACAAAATGAGAATATAGCGGGTAGCGGGAATCGAACCCGCACCATTAGCTTGGAAGGCTATAAGTTATAGTCGATATGAGTTAGTATATAACTCTAAATCTCTAATTCAGAACCGGACATGAAATTTTCGTTTCATCCAGCTCCTCTAGAAGGTCAATCTTTTTTGAAATCATCATTTTTTCTTTTTCTTTTTCTTAAAAGAATCATGACAACGGCAAATAAAGGGAACTTCTAGCATCTACGTCAGTTCACTCTTGAATATAAATCAAGGTATACATCTTAGATGATCCTATTGAAACAAAAAACTTTTTTCATTGTGGTTTCATTTCAATTAATTCGTTCCTTTTCTCTGATATGTTGAGTCTTTAGGATGGTTCACTCACCAGACTTCTAGAAATATGCATATTTCCTTGGTGAATCAAGTAAACATGTTTGAAGTCTCATTCTTCAAAGATAGAATTCTCTTTGCTAGTTTAGTAACGATGAATTAGAACCTTAATTATTTAACCATAGACTTCGAGGCGTTAGAATTAGCTTTCTATAGTAAGCGATTCAACTGAAATCTCGCTTTAGGTAATATCATTGATTTTTCAATAATTTCTATGAATCACCTAGAGATAATCTAGAACTATTGCATTAATAGTAAAGGGGAATTTCTTTGCCAGAGAAAAAGTTGTCAGAAAAAAATCTGACTAGCTAATTGACCCCATAATTAGCAATATATGGGAAGCTAAACGAATCGCACTTCTACCACTAAACTATACCCGCTTACGTAACATAATATCATAAGATTGGGTTTATATGCAAGGGATTTCTCATATTAATAGAATTTATTATTAATCAAATTTGCCTAAGAAACAGGATCTCCTATTTCTTCAAAAATTCTTATGATTCTTTGTCTTTTTATAGTCTCATTTGTTTAGAATAATAGTTGTTACACAAGAAGAATATTTTTTTTGTCTTGTCAAGAGAATTTACTTCATGTATCATATTCATAAAGAGGAATATTTTTTTTCAAACATCTTTGTATACTATTTTGATGAGAATCATAATATTTCCTCATAATTCTTATATTTCTTTATACACAGAGATATTCTAAAAACATTTATCAGAATTCAATTGATATTTTCTATTTATTTATGGATACACAATTAGTAGAAGACACACAACGTCCAGTATTCCCATTTACTGCAATTGTAGGTCAAGAAGAAATGAAGTTAGCACTTCTGTTGAATGTTATTGACCCTAAAATTGGTGGTGTTATGATTATGGGAGATCGAGGGACTGGGAAATCAACTACTGTAAGGGCACTTGTAGATCTTTTACCAGAAATTGAAGTGGTGGTTGATGATCCATTTAATTCAGATCCTCGTGATCCTGAATTAATGAGTGAAGAAGTAAGAGAAAAAATTCGACGCGACCAAGAGATTCGTGTTGTAAACACTAAAATTTCTATGGTTGATCTTCCCCTTGGAGCAACTGAAGATAGAGTGTGTGGTACTATTGATATAGAAAAAGCTTTAACAGAAGGAGTTAAAGCTTTTGAACCCGGTCTATTAGCTAAGGCAAATAGAGGTATTCTATATGTCGATGAAGTAAACTTATTGGATGATCATTTAGTGGATGTATTATTAGATGCAGCTGCTTCTGGATGGAATACAGTTGAAAGAGAAGGTATTTCTATTTCACATCCTGCTCGTTTTATCTTAATTGGATCTGGCAATCCGGAAGAAGGTGAACTTCGTCCTCAACTTTTGGATAGATTTGGAATGCATGCTCAAGTAGGTACTGTTAAAGATGCTGAATTAAGAGTCAAAAT